GTCTGACTTGTGTCTCCCAATAGCTCTCATGAATCTCAAATGGCGAAATTCGGGCCAGGCATGCGTCAGTGCCAATCGAGTCTACGTCCAAGCCGGCGTCTATGAGAAATTCGCCTCCATGCTCACTGATTTGACCTCCAAGCTTGTTGTTGGCCATGGCAGCTCAAGCGATTCAACATTGGGTCCCGTTACCACACCACAGAGCCTTGATCGCATATCAGAGCAAGTCAAAGACGCGCAGCTTCATGGAGCGAGGATCTTACTCGGAGGCAAGAGAGTAGAAAACACCACCGGATACTTTTTCCAGCCAACTATTATCGCCGATGCTACAAGTGAAATGCGTGTCACGCATGAAGAATCATTCGCCCCCATCCTCAGCTTTTACAAATTTCAGTACGAATCAGAAGCTATCAAGCTGGCAAATGATACGCCGGTAAGACTGGCTGATCTCGATTTACACGAATTTCTTTCTGTGCTGACTTGATGCTGTCTCTAGATGGGGCTCGCCTCATACGTGTTCACCAAAGATTTAGATCGTGCCTGGAGACTGCTCGATGAAATTGAGGCTGGCATGATCGGGCTTAACACAAGTATGAAAATATCAATGAGCCTTCCAATAACTGAAACTGACTTGAGATAGGTGCAATCACGGGCGCTGAATCCCCTTTTGGCGGAATGAAGGAATCTGGGTACGGAAAAGAAGCAGGCAAGGACGTGGCAGTCGAGGAGTACCTCGTGACAAAGGCAGCCTCAGTGGCAATAGCGAGCAGGCTGTAGTTTAGAAAACATGATCACAATGGTCACAAAGGCTTAGACAGATGGAAATTCAATAGTCACTTCAATTGAAGACTCTTATCGCAAGAATCATCCACTATCATGTTTTGGAAGTAAAGCACCTACCAAGTCGGAGCCGTTTCTTCTCACTTCTTACTCCAAAACTTGTTCCAAGTGAAAGGCTTCGTTCTCGCCCACGTATCAACCATTCATTCATCCGAGGCCTTGTCGATGATTGAGCTATCTCCCCAGCCATCAACACTAGCTCTCCTGATACAGGGTTCCCCCATCGCGAGAGATAAGGATGGCTTGATCCACTGCTCTCTGAGGATGCTGATTGGATTTCGGCAACCTTCGGGGCCCATCGGGGCGTCTCCGATGACTCCTGTGGCCGCCCGCAACCATCAGGAAACTGGCCGAGTCAAGAATCGGGCGGAGAAGAGAACTAAGATTCTTTAGCTCCTGATATTGGTGTCACGCAAGCAGAAATGAACCATTTCCAAACATCCGACGAGAGCATGGATGTGATACATATATAATTCCCAAACACGGGTGCCATTTTGCTTTTTCGCAACACCTCTCTGGATTTGGCACAAGGATAACTGAAACAGAAGTATACAAAATGACTGAGGCAGAACCCAAGGAAATCGCACCGGTGACGGAGGTTGACGGCGACATCGGGGAGAGCAAAGTCATTCATGAGACCGGTGACATTATTGACGATGGTGTTCGACGTGCCCTCAAGTCCCGCCATCTTCAGATGATTGCCCTGGGAGGCGTCATCGGCCCTGGCACATTCTACGCGACTGGTTTTGCTCTTCAATATGCAGGCCCGGTGGGTTCACTCATTGGCTACATCATCATCGGTATAGACGTCTTCTTCGTCACACAGTCTCTCGGCGAAATGGCCACCATGTTCCCCTCTACCGGCTCATTCAACGAGTTTGCTGGTCGCTTTGTGGACCCGGCCTTGTCATTTGCTCTGGGATGGAACTATTGGTACATGTGGGTGAGTTAACGAGCTACCTAATTCTTCATTCTGCTACCTTGATCGTGATCAATTTTCTGACAACGTCAATACTACATATAGGGAACTATTTTAGCAAATGAATACAATGGCGCTGCCTTGATTCTGAGCTTTTGGACCGACAAACTTCCAAACTATGCCTGGATTCTGATCTGCTGGGTTTTCTTCATGGGAACTTCACTCCTGGGCGTTCTCGTCTATGGAGAGATGGAGTTCTGGCTCGCGTCCTTCAAATTTGCTGTTACTCTGATTCTTTACCTCGTTGCAATGTACGTTTGCCTATTCATGCCCATCCCACTCGACCACAGAGAAGTGATTGGCTAACTCATTCCAAAGTCTTATTGATACCGGAGCAATTGGTGGTGAATATCTTGGATTTAGGTACTGGAGAGATCCGGGACCGTTCGCGAACGGCATCAATGGCTTCGGAAAGGTTCTGGTCCTGGCGGCTGTCATGTACTCCGGAACTGAAGCGGTGGCCATCACAGGTGGAGAATCTCGAAATCCTAAGCGAGATATCCCCAAGGCCCTTAAGCAAACCTTTTGGAGAATCCTGATCGTCTATGTTGGCATGGTGTTCTTCACCGGTCTCATCGTTCCATCCAACTCCGAAGGCTTGCTGAACGCCAAATCCAAGTCTGCCTCGTCTCCCTTCACTGTTGCCCTCGTCAATGCGGGCTGGGGTGGCGCCGGTAACCTGATCAATGCCATCATCATTATGACACTTCTCTCATCAATCAACTCGGCTATTTACATTGCCAGCCGTACCATTTTCGCTCAAGCCAAGGTCGGCAGGGCCCCCAAGTTTCTAGCCATGGCCACGAAGAATGGTGTGCCGGTCAATGCCATTATTTTCACCAACCTTTTCGGCTTAATTTCTCTGCTGAACATTTCTGAGAACGCCGGAAATGTGTTCAACTATCTCCTATCCATCTCGGGATCTGCCGCTTTCATTGCCTGGGCATTCATCGGCCTGACCCACGTGCGTTTCCGTCAAGCGATGAACGCTCAGGACATTTCGACCTCTGTACTCCCATTCAAATCTTTCGGGTATCCCTACGTCCCCTGGATTGTCTTTGGCATCAATATCTTTCTCGTCTTGATTTCCGGTTACACCACCTTCTTATCCCCTTTCGATGTCAAGTCCTTTATCTTTGCCTACCTCGTTATCCCCATTTTTGCAATCCTATATGTTGGATGGAAATTATATCACAGTAAGTTGTCATCCCCTAAGTTTCCGTCACAAATTATTGTTGCAAATCAGTATGGGAGGATTATGCTAATTCACGTCTCTTTTCTTTTTTTCCAGAGACAAAATGGGTCAACTCTGCAGAAGCAGACATCTCAAGTGGTCGCAGAGATTGGTTGGTTTGTGGTTCTGATGAAGAAGCTCCTCGTACATGGGCTGGTAAGCTGAAGAATGTTCTCGTGGGCTAGGAGAACCGACTAGCCAGCTCTTCAGCCAACACGAAATCAGAGCTCTCTGGCTCTTCTACCTTTAATCTTCTTACTCGTTGAAATATAATACATAGTTTTACCAATATACTGCGTAACTTGACAGTTTGTCGATTCCATTTTCAGTAAAATCATCACAGCTGTGACTAGATCTTTCAAGAAAATTCAATAGAAAATTCAATAGAACCTAATACTCCATAATTTATCATGAAGGCACTACCATTCAAATTCAAAGTGACTAAAATCGCATGCCTCAGAGCTACCATCAACACCGTGGGTCCCGCTCTGCTGATCTCTACATACTACACCTTTGGGCTCGCTTAACCCATGAGATAACCTGATCCCATGACTACTTCCCCAGAAATCTCGACCCAATCCTGGAACGCCTCCGCATTCGACTAAGAACGTTGCAAGTTAGTCTGGGATGGGGTGCAGCGCATCGTAATCATGGTCCGACACATGGTTGATTCCGCCCTCCTCCGCCGATCGGGGCAACGTCCGATGGCAAGATACAGAATCTCCACATTTACTGCTGGTCCGATACTGTCCTCCTGGTCGGTGCCTGTCCCCGACAACTTCCATGGCATGAGATATGCAGGGGTCCTCTACAAATACAACTGCTGAGTTCATGGGATACGACACGTGATAGTCATAGTTCAGCGCCGATTGCTGTCATTTTGAAAGGTACATTAAACCATCACCCTTGTGTTCATAATTCTTTTCCTGGCAAGTAGTCGACTGTCAACAAAAGACGTTAGAAGAACACTATACAGACAACATGGCTCCCAGTCCAAAGACATTTGCAAGCGACGATACCGTCCTCGACCCTGCCATTAAATCCCATATTTCCAGTCTCTACATGGCTGTTGACACCAAGGATCTAGAATTCTGGGGATCTCACTTCACAGAAGATGCCGAGCTGAAGAAGGGAACATCCAACGTCAGGGGAAGAGAAAGTAAGCACACCAAAACTTTAGCCCATACCGCACGTCACTCTATGACTAACCACGTACAAATCGTTCATAGCACTTGTTGATCTCGTTACCAAGTCCTGGGAACCGGTTCAAAGCCGTGATCACATCATCTACGCCGTATTTCCCTTTGGACCTAAGGCGGAGGAAGTCATGCTCCATGGACGAAGCAACAATGTGTCCAAAGATGGCCAGGCTAGCACATTTACTTGGGCGGCACGAATGCATTTCAGACGAAGCGAGGATGGAAAGGTTCTTATTGATAAGTACACAATCATTCCTGTAAGTTGTGTTTACATCCCAGGTAACGCCCAAGAGAAGTTGAACCATTTGCTGATTCATTTATAGGACCCCCACCCAGCAACATTGTCGTAATTCCCTTTTCGCGATGGAGAGGACTGGAAACCATGCAGCTTGGGAAATAGCTAGTTCGTGTAATGATCTGTCCAATACTCATTGGTGTCCTCAATAAATATTATATTTGCTTTGGTGCCGTTATGCCTCCGCGATTAGCTGTACCTCCATGCTGCGGAAGGCGGATAGATGCTGCCAGTAACGTTGATCCCTAAGATCCAGGAGTAGATTGTGTCCGGACGACTAAAATGTCCCTCTATTTTATGGTATCACTGCTCTAGAAGGCTTAAATATTGGCTGTGGAGATAAAGAATCGTCGCAGCTGACGTGTTGGTTCTAAAGGTGGCTGTCTTTCATCCGGCAATTGCGAGAATCTTCTTCTCAAGCCAAGATTTTCACTGAGTACATGGCTTCTCGTATCACGCGTGCACCTCAGTCCGAGGTCCAGTCTCGCATATCTCATGTAGCATCCTGGATGTAGTGCGATGGATCCCGCTCTCCTCGAGTTTAACGAGAAGCGAGGCGAGGCCTTGTCTAGCCTCAGTTGATAACTGGCCCGGGGGCTGGCTGCGGGGAATTGTCGAAGCCAGCCACTCAAAGCAGTCTCGGTAATGTTCCGCCTTGGGCCATCGGTCTGCAAATATGGCTAGGACTGCACTGCAGTCGCGAATCGCGTCATTCGCATGTTGGGGGACCGGCGTCATCCGCGCCCAGATGATATACCAGAGCGTGACGGCGGCACGAAACTGCGAGAGCACCTATTTGCCATTTGTAAGCACTACCAGGTGATTTGGCAAGCGGGGGTAAGACTTACGGCGAGCCATGGCTGTGCGATCTGTTTCTTCTTTTGGAGGCAGCGGAAGCTGGTGCATGCCGCACAGCTTGCTTGGAGGGCATTGTCGGCGTTTGTGGAGAAGATATTGGCTTTGTTAACGAAACAGAAGGAGAGTCGAGTGAGATGGCCGATATGCTGAAGCCAGAGAGGGTTCTGATAGCCGCGGCTGGACGGAAAACTGGCGGTTGGGAGGAAAGATTAGTCGGCCATGGCTGAGACGAGCGAAAAGGGTATTTAGTATGGTACCTATGTTTGCGGATAGTCTCATCGTTTTCCCACTCTCGCAATTCTCTTAACATGTGGATTTCCAGGTCTAATGGGACAGGTTTTCCCTCCAGTTCATCCTTCTCAATCATATGCATAAAGAATGACTGGATAGTCCTGATTTTGCAAATGTAAGAGAACGTCCGGAGATCGGGATACGCCACGTCCTTGTCCAGCGTGTCACGATGCTCTGTCCAAGGCAAATTTGAACAAGGATTTTCAATGACATGGTCATCAAACTCGTATAGTGGCGTTGATATGTACATGTCGGGTAAGCTCACTGGCGTCCCAAGTGCCGAGCTAGCAGCTCTGTCAAGTCTTCATGGTGCAAAGAGACCCTATCAGCCTTCTGTCTCCCTAGAAAATGATTTGCTCTTAGCAATGGCTTACACGTAGGCACATGACCAGGCTCTGATCGATATCAAGTTGCTCGGGTCGCTGGGATCTCTCTTCAGCCGGTGGAACCGATGCAGCGACGCAAACTTCATGATAGCACCGCTGATGTGTGCAATTCGCCAGGTGCTTTCGGCGTGCAACGCGAACATGGCAGAGAGGAGCATGGCCTGCAGCCGTACAAGAGGAGTGGAAGTTGAGTCGGCGAGGATGGATTGCTCGGCTTGCGCTCGTGACTTTAGGTTTTGGTATTGGGGGAAAGATGCGTTGTCGATTTTCGATTCAATGAGAGACCCAATCGCGAAGATCTTGTCAGTCTCATCAGCATGCATACATCAGAATACTCAGTCAGCGAGAGGTTAGGATAGATACCATATTAACGAAGAATGCTGGCCACCCAACGAACTCCGGGCTACCTCCAGCCCTGGTCCATGCTCGATAATGAACTGCGCACGTCTCGATGTCTAGAAAAGGATATTGGAGGTGAACAGTAGTGAAGTATGTGTGGGAAAACGAAGCCGCTGTGTGAAGCGGAATGTCGTTAGGCGAGATGCCGGAGGGGCTCTGTGAGTCTGAGCTTCCCTCTATGAACTTGGACAGAATTGTCGAGATAGTCGATGATTTACCATTGGCCATTCCTGAGCTTTCAGCAACGAAATCAGGTGGTGCCCCGCTACTAATAGACGCAGGTTGTCTCGGCGAGGGACCAGGGAGTCTTGCTGACGGCGGTGTCTGCGAGTAGATCCGGTGCTCGAAATCAGAATGGCGGGATACCAGAGACCCAGAGGCAGATTGTGGAGTTCCAGTGACGGCAGGCTGAACTCCTAGACCACGCTCATCCCCAGATTGAATCATGTCCGCCCTTTCAATGTTCAGCGATACCCGAGGGACTACCGCGGATATCGTTGTGCTGCATCCTGAAAGCACGGCAAATTTGTTAGTCTACCGGGAACAACTAGAGGTAGGATTCATGTGAAGGCCATTATTACCAGCTCCGGCCGCGATACAATTCTGGCAGGTTGAGTCTCCATCCGCATCACATACGATGTTTAGTCGTATGCATCGCTCACATGATCGTTTCCTTTTCCTTGTTGAGACTCCGACGGCTGGTGGAGACATTCTTTGAATTAGTAAGTAAAGGGAGGAGGTACCTCAGCCGCCTTCAGGGGTGGGTGGTTTTTACAAAGAACGAGGGTCGGCGACGTATTCCAAGTCCGAGGAGTGACTCCCCTCGAGGAGGTGAGGCGAGGAATGTGGACCAGGGAGAGCTGTTACCAGCCTCAAAGACTGGATGAAATGAGGCAAGCCACAAGACAGGAAAGGCCCCATTAGATGACGCTACATGCTTGGAGCGCAGCGTTACCGAATCAAATGCACCTTGTGGTCCAGGAAAGGTTGAGTGCAAGCAGCGAGCGCTCGCATGTGCGGCATTAATTATAATCACCTAGCATCATTTGAGTTTAGACTAGACTCTCAGGCCAAACCAACTACCCTACACCCTAAATGGTTATTTGACATGGTCGTAGGAAAGAATAGTTCTCAAAATCTACTCCTCTCACCATGTCAGGGTGGCATCCACGCTGTTTGGGTCCGTAGTAGCAATGCATTGTGTCATCTATAACCTGTATATCTACAGGTGTGGAATTGCATAAGAACTAATGTTAAAGCAGATAACTCATGGTACTATCTTCTCTCCAGCAATAACCGAAAAAAAGGCATCCGCAAGATATGACCCAGCGTAACTAAGCTTGTGGAATCCGTCGACAATGGGAGGCGCCCTTGATGGTTTGGAAATGGTCTCGATATATCCAGCGATACCATCCCTCTGCCACTCCTTGGCAAATTTCTCTGCTGTAATGTTCAGTCCTGCTACAGACCAGATGGGCTGTACCTGCCATATGATGCCCAATTTGGCCATGTCGTCGCTGAAAGAACTTATCTGTTCCTGACTGAAACCGGCTGCCTCGTAGTTGTACATTCCGGTGAAGCCGAACGCAAACATTCGGTCTGGGTACACCTTGCGGACCTCCGTGTGAAACTCGACGATATCTTTCCAGACTATTAATTTCTTGTTAGTGACAACCCCGAGAACGAAGTGGGTTGTTCATCATTTGAAAAAAACTAACCTGGCGCGTCCATTCTGGCCCATGTCATGTCGCCCAAGGGCGCGACTAGAATAGCTCGCTCGACAATTGTCTTGACACTAGGTTTCCACATGTACTGTCCCTCCTTGGATCTAGAGAGTTCCCAATCGAAGAACACATCCTGCTTTACCAACTCTTTGGCAATTCGGCGTTTTTCTTTGAGCGAGATACCATAAGCAATGGCTTTCGAGGCGTATTGTTGATACTCCTCTTCTGTGGCTTTCTGTTTGACAGCCTGGTCAAATGTCATGAGGCCAGCCTGGGACTTCCATTCATCCCGTGCTTGCACATATTGCTTTCCCTCTGCCATGCCTTGTGCTACATACTCTACCAGAGGTTCCAGGTCGTTGGTGGCTCCGATGATGTACTCGTGGTCGCGAGGGTCAATGGTGCTCGTGATGAACTGGGACCGGTCAGTGTCGCAACGACACATGAGCAACGTGTTGGTACTGTAAGATTGATCGAGATATGATTAGCGATTCATTCTTTTAATCAAGGTCTCATTCAAACCTACCCCATGACATCAAACTGCATACGGACAGCAGTTAACCTCGACAAATACTCGCTGGTGGGGACCACGGTTCGACCTTCGCCCACGGTAAACTTCTTCAAGCCGATCGCCAAGTCATCCAGATGGATCATGGCGACGCCGGCTTCCACAAATAGTTTTGCCAGCTTGACCGTTGTCGTGAGGCCGCCAAAACCCATGTCCCCGTCGGCGATGATCGGGGCCATGAAGTCGTACTTCTCGAGCTTCTCGCGCTCTTCCTTGGAGTGGCGCATTCGAAACTGATTTTGCCGCTGGTCGTGGAACAGCTGCGCTTTGAAGATCTTTTCAACGACCTTTGGCACCGTATCCCACGGGTAATCTGCGTGATCACATCCTGGATGCTGAACTTCGGATAACCCGCATAAGGCTCCAGATACATAGACAGTCTTTCAAATAAAGGCAGTCAGTAATTAAATACGTTCTGGTAGAAGCATACACATGATGGGAAAATGGGATCTTGAAGAATTGAATCCTGTACCTGTTGATGCTTGACCATTTGAGAAACGACAGTTGGCTCTGTGGTGCCAAATGTCTTCTCACAAGTCCCGTTTGCCAGATGAGTCTTCAGAATATTCCAAAGCTTATCGCCTTGCAAGCTAGACGGATACGTTATTGGTATCGTGTTTCGGAGAGCTGCAATGGACTCTGCCGAGTAAGGCCTGGAATAAGACGGATCAGCACTTATTTTCAGACTCGTGTTAATCCATCGCGGCGAGGCATAGTGTGCGTTTCCGTTACCTCTTAAGATGAGCCTGCCTGGGACTTTGCCATTCTTTTTCGATGGCAGTTACCTGTGCCTGGAATGCCGCTTCTTCTGCGTCTAGATCAAGACTGACGTTGGACATGATGGTGATCTGAACTGGGACGGAGCAAAGTGCTGTTTGAAGCCAGAGTTATCAATTGCGAGCAGTTTTTAGAAATAAACCAATATGACCGACCACGTCAAGGCCATTAATAAACCCGGATCTCGATTCCCGGCCGCCATTGTTATTTCGGTAAGATTTCCCCGACGGATTGCGATGGACAGCTAGAGGGCAACAGTGTGTGTGGAGGTTTGGGGGTTCGGACATGAGGCCCGATCTTGTTCCCGATCGCCCCGAATCGATGTCTGGGGGCTTGTCACTGGGGCCGCTCCCCTGTATCATCAACCCATGTAATCTTACAAGGGTCGGTCATTGTCCCATTATGGATTCTGGAAGATAGCCTCCTCAGTGTTTCTACTGAAGCATCACTCAAGAGTAGCCCATTAACACGGTAGATATTTGTCATGGTTGGCGAGGGGTGACATGAACCATTTGTACTACGATAATAGCTACTGCGGTACCCAAAGCTCTCCATCTCCTTCCATTTCATTCTATCATCATGCAATACGTCATTAAAATGTGGAGCACCATGTCTTGATTCTGAGCCTCGATAATTGAGAGCTCTCACTGCTTGAACTGAATGCGCTGCTTATCATTTAGAGAGTTTATCTCAGAATATACATGTAGGTTAGAAGGGTTAAAAGGAAGAGGTATAATCAAATATATTTGCTTTCCGAGTTAAAACACGCACTAAGGGAGCAAAAAGAGCCCGTTTCCTCGCTTAGTGGGGCCATTGACCCGATTATTTGTTTTGTTTAATCGCCGTAGGTAAACAAGGGCCCAATATTATAGATACCTAATCATGGATTCAACGCGACCAGAGCTTGCTATAGGCTACAGTTAATACTGAAAGTGAACGAAACGAATGTTTTCTTGTGTAATGTTTTCTTGTGCTGGCCAGTTGTTTTATTTGGTTCGGCTTTCTTTTACAGTCGTAAGCCATCGCGTGTGTTGATGCATACTCAATGCCGTCATGTTCTCCGGTGCCGGATGTTGCTTAATGTCTTAGATGCTTCTCGCAGTAGCCTTCTCCAAGTGAGTCGAGATATTCAAAGACTTAGAACGTGGCGGCATGCATTAATCTCAGCAGGCAGTACTTTACGCTTTATTTAATTGAGTGCTATTGCTGCCCGCTCACCATCTGTTCTGCTCTCTCCCGGTCGCTCTGGTAGAACTGATCTAGGCTGGGACTTCTTGTCACACGTTACAGGAGACCATTATTGCTGATTCCCTCCGACTCGGAGTGATCCATATTCGTGGTCACCTAGATTAGTCATAAGCCACATGCAATACTGTGTGTTTCCCATCCCCTCATCTTATGCATCACCTGTTTTCCACCCCGCTTTCATCTATCTCTCATAGAGCCATCCCTCTGACCACCATGCCGCGACTCGATACACTACCCGCGGAACTCCTCCTTTACATTGCGGAAGCATGTACCTGGGGCCCCCGGACCCCGCGTCCCAAGCTCTTTGGACCCGGCGGAGAACAGCTTCAGGGCAACTCGGGAAAGCCGCGAATGGTTCTCTCATACTATGGCAGATACCACGCGTCACTGGCTCGCGTCAACCGTCGTCTCCACGACCTCTTGAACGGTCCGCTGTACAAGCGCAACTTGCTCCACGATCCTATGTCTAGATCTTGCCTGCTGTTCGCAGCGGAGACGGACCGCATAGAGACGTTGCAGGTGGCTTTTCGCTATGGTGGCGTGGACCTAAATAGAGTCTACGACGAGTGTCCCACCCAGAATGAGGCCGTACCACTTCACGCCGCACTCGCCGCGAGGAGTAGCCGTGTCGTTGAATTCATGCTAAACCATGGGGTTGATGTTCATCTGCCGTCCAGTCTGCCAGCTGACAATGATGGCTGGGGCTATAACTGCGGACCGGGGTCCGGTAGGCGACGACGAAGTATAATGGAAATCAATAAGACGGCGTATCCGCTACATACAGCTGTGGCATACGGGACCGTGGAGGATGTGGCCAGCCTGATTGATCACGGCGCGTACATGATCGCCAAGGGAACGTCTGTTCTCAGAGTCCTCGACAATCTAGGGCGGCCGGACCTTATCGAGAAAGTCTCCCAGCGCACTGATCCTGTGACGCTGCGTGCCCGTCTTCACCGTGCCGCTTCGGCTCACGACATGGACCTCGTACGGGAGATTCTAAAGTACAAGATCCACGCAGGCGACCTGGACCGCGACAGACAGAATGTCCTTCACATGGTAATCCGAGGAAACGGCGAGGAGAACCTGCCTCTGATCGAGCTACTTCTCCAGCGGCGTGATATAGACCCTACTATCGAAGATAACGATGGCTATACACCCGTCTTCGCCGCGCTCTCAATGGGCCATATCAGTACAGTCAAACGTCTCCTGCAAGAACCCGGGGTCGGTCTCGCTGGTCTGACGGCAAAAGGGCGGACTGCTTTACATGCAGCCATCCAGTCACAAGACCTGGAGCTAGTCGAATACGTTCTCAATCAGCCAGGTGTCGACATCACAGCGGTAGATCACGAATCACGCAGTGCCATGACTCTCGCCATTTTGGTGTGGCGTGAAGAAGTCTCTCTGGCCTTGGTCAGCCTCCTACTCTCCAACGGGGCCCAGGTAAACGATGTGGCACCACAAGGTGGAGTACTCTTCGAGCTCCTACGGCGGCGTCACATTCGGACAGCTCTGCTTATTCTTCGAAATGGGCTGATAATGTCACCAGTCTCCTTGGGACGTTTATATGATGGATATCGCCTGATACTCCACACCTGTCTGAAGGAACCTCACGAATCACTAATAGACATTCTCAAGGAGCTGATTGCTCTTAGAGTCGATGTAAACCAACTGGAAGGGGAGCCACCCGCTGCCGGCGAGGAACGGCGCTTTTTCAGGCCCTCGCCGCTGTTCGTTGCTGCTACCGGTGCAAAGAGCTTGGAGTGCATGAAGCTTCTGGTGGCCGCCGGCGCTGTCCTAAACGAGCCGGATGACAACCGCTTCACCATGCTTCTGAGCATCTTCAAGAGAGCCTGGGGCGATAATCTGCCGTGGGATGACTCTGACGCCGAGGCTTACGCGGACCGAATCTGCTTCCTTCTTGAGCTTGGCGCGACAATGGGGCACGAGACCACGGAGCCAGTGAAGACCGCTCTGGGTTACGCTTGCGAAGTGTCGACGAACGAATCTTGCCCGCTGCTCGCGCTGTTGTTGGACAACTCGACGGCAGCCAATGTTGGCGAGAGCCTCGTCCGTGCACTTATATCCCATTATGAATCTTATGAGAAACGAGACGAACCCAAGGCAAGGGAAATTGTTCGCCGACTTGAAGCCTTTGAAACGAAAATATTTTCCAAATAGTTTCCCGCTGTCTTAGTGGAACCTGGTTTGTCTCCCCTCGAATCAGTCCTGATGAAACTATATGTGCTAACGGGCGTGATTCAGTTCTGTCCGTGATGTCCCACAAATTGTTGTGGTCGGACCTGAGTGGCCCTCAAAGGTATGATCTGAGTATTTGGGTGGGTATCTGGTAGAATCAGAGGACTTTCATTTCCAAAAAAAAAATTGAATACGACGAGGAAATCAGTTTGTTCCTTTCTTTCTATTTTTCCTTATTGGCACAGATTGCGACAACAAGCCATATCAATCTCTCAAGAAACAAATAAATCCAAAAATAGCGGAACATTCCTTAGGTATTTTTCTTTTTAATATAAGCGAACCATAAGCCATATCTTGCCCTCCTACCACATGAGATGCTACACACGAAAAGAAGAGAAAGACTTTCCATCCAAAACAGTGATGACACAAATAAATAATACCTCATCCAACTCAATGGCCATTAATATTTGATTAGTGTCGATCAATCGTGTTCCGAAATCAAGGCAATGCGACCAAAGCCTTGGTTTCAGGGCTGAGAGGGCGAGCATCAGAGCCTACCTACTGTATTATCAATTACAAGCTGATCTTGCCTATTCGCAGCACCATGCCGCCGATAATTGAAAACATGTTCAGCGTTCGCGTGACGGGAAAAGGATTTTGCGGGTTTAATTTTGCCATCAGCTGTCAATTTGTAATCAACAATTATCAATCCCCACCAGCTACGCAAGAGGTTGAATTGGCTTCCACAATATTCAAAGCGCTCCCCCCCGTCTTGACCGTGCCTGATAAATTTCTGCAACAAGATTAGTTCCATCCCAAGAGATCTGGGCATACTCAGGTATAAAATGTCTACACGCACGCGCACCAGGGATCAGCCCAGGCCAAGGCGCACGAAAGGTAAGATCCCCACGCGCGAGACTACCTACATCACTGGTGTACTATGTGTAAGCATGCTGACTAGGGCCCCGACAAGCATGCGATTTGTGTTTTTCTAAAAAGATCAAATGTGACAAGCGCGAGCCGCAATGCTCCAACTGCAAATTGTATAATAAAGATTGTCGTCGGAGCATTACTCGGAGTGAGGCCAAGACCCCCGGTGTCCCATCCACAGCTACGAGTGGCAAGTCTGGGCAGGGTTCAAGCCTAAAGTCAGTCTTTCTGGTGTCATATCCAGTGTGGGAAGATTGATAACTAAGACATCAACCAGGTCCAATTCAGATTTCAGACAGCCAACGGCTCCAAGTCCACTAAATGAAGCGGTTGAGCAAGATGAGCTGATACCGGTCGAGACAAGCACGCCCCCAGAAAGCAACTCTACAGGCAGAGTCTCCGATGTCTACAGTGAAACTGCATCTCAGGGTTCCTGTTGGAAGTTTGATCCAACGAGCCCGAGTCTATATTTTGGACCGTCAGATGGTTCTCTGAAACTCCCGCCACTCACAGTATGCCAGAGCCATCCAAAACCAAATCAAACAGAATAACCTAACCGAGCATGTCAACAGGAGCTTATGCCCGCTATTGACCATTTCTTCGAGGGTATTAACACAGCGCTTCCCATCTTTAACCAAACTGTCTTCATGAAAATGGTCACACGCTGGTTCAGCAATCAGCCCAAACGAGATAGACTCTCATGGGCATCGATCCTGGTTGTCATGGCACTCGGACTACAATCCATGCCTGAGGGGAGCCAGAACATTCACGAAACCGCCACTGGAGAGACTTGGATGAGCTATTGCATGAGGAATGCACAATCTACCTTGCCCGAACTCATGGCCCGGGATGAAGACCTCGTTGGCCTCCAGGTGATGGTATCCCTGGCACTCCTATTCCAGGGCTCTGTTGATTTGAGACCATCGAGCGTTCTTCTTGGAATGGCGATCAGGCTCACGCACAGGATGCAACTACACCAAAAAGACCCGGGCCGGCATTTTTCTGACGGGGAGGCCCAACAGAGGTCCAATGTGTTCTGGATAACATATCTTCTGGACAAGGTATGTTTAAAGGGTCTAAGTGAAGGGACTGTGAAGATTTAACATTTGTTAGGACATAAGCCTCCGAATGAAAACTCCCTCTCTCCTATCAGATGATGATATCAACCTCCCACTTCCCGATCATGAGTCATCAACAAATGGAGGCTTCATTCATTCGCTTCATGGAGATGTTTCTCTCAATATGCTCTATCAACGCGCTAGACTGGCTCAGATCGAGAGCAAAATCAACGCTCTCATCTGCTCAAACCATTATTTGGAGTATGAGACTAGTACGAGGCGGGATCGCGTGGCAAGCTTGGGCGCGATGCTGGAGCAGTGGTACTCCGAAATCCCGGCTGCCTTCAAGCCTGCTAATGCTCCCAGCTCTCTCAAGCCCGTAGATCTGGCCCAGGTCATGTATCTCCACCACGTGTACTTGTTTTGCCTGATCTGTATACACGGGATTTGGAGCGCCAAGTCTGAGTGGATGTGCAAGATTGGTTCATTCAGCAAGGCAGCGATCGAGGATATCATGGTGACAATCCAAGGCCCAAGAGTCACGACATGTTTACAATTGCAAGAGCCTCCCTCAATCGCGGGATGGAATCATTGTGTGTCTGCCACTCGGGAGGCCATACAACTATTTCTACAAGCACCCCTCGCAAGTTCTTCAGCATGGTATGTATCGTGGACGAAGATATTTGGATATAGTATATATTCTAACATATCTTCATGATAGGCTATGCACTTGTGCTCAATTTTCAGGCATGATCATTCTTCTAGCCGACATAATTATTCACCCATCTGCAACAACCAAGTCCCAAGATTTGCGACTAGTCAAGGCTTCGAAGCAGAAATATGATCAGTTTCTAGGTGGTGCTCCATCTCACCTACATGAGTCCTTGAATCTGATAATAGACGACCTCCTTCAGCGTGCAGGCAGCTGCTGTGATGATGATAACATTGAGCACTCCAGCGGTAGAGACTCGGCCAATGCATTCTCTTTGGGCATGGAATCATCGGAAACGCTGCTCAGTAACGGTTTACCTGAATTCGGCTATGAGGATATCCAGGCCATGAATTTTGGCTTTCCCGATTTTATGTCTTCTCGAATAAACGAGGAAAATATGTTTTTGGGTCTTGACGGGTAACTCTGGGGACTGAGAGATATCAGGGCAATGCAATATATGGAACCGCTATATCATAACATCGAGCTAAGCCATTTCACATTTCGTCACGAAGACCATTTTCAGAATATAAACCCGCTTCTCATATCATTCTTACCAAGACATTCTGTATTGTAACCCCAATATAAATGAAAGGAGGGGGAGCAAATTGGCCTCACATTCACCAGTCTTCCTCGGTCGGTTGGTTTCTTCTTTGTGAGGCAAAGCCAAGTCGATGCTTAAGCTTAGGCTATAGTTTCAGCCTCCTCCAAAAATATCATTTTGTAGCATCTTAGTCGCTTCCATCATTGACCAAGACAAACCGATATCGTGGCTTTCCAGCCTCCAAATCGCGAAGTGCTTGGTTAGCTTCTGTTATCGGGATTGTTTGGACCCAGGGCTTAACATTCTTCTTGACGGCCAGATCCATCATTTCCTCAATCTCAGAAGGAGAGCCACAAATAGCACCGGCAATGTTCAGTCCCTTGAACACCAGCGTCAGCATGCTGAAGCTTGGATGTTGGCCGCCCGGATCAGCACTAGAACCTCAATATTAGCTACCTCCCCGGAAATGACAAGCTTGCAACTCTTACCCTAGTTGTATGATGGATCCTCCCGTTTTGAGAACGGACATGTATTGGTCAATCGGCATATTGCTCCCAGAGGACGTCACAAGGAGAAGGTCCAGCGTCCTTTCATTCTTCGATGCCCACTCAGGGTCCTCCCCGGTTGCGATAAAATCATCCGCTCCGAGGGCAAGCGCATCGTCACGTTTGGATGAACCTCTCGAAATAGCCACAATCCGATCTGCATCGAGCGCCTTTGCAAACAGAATCCCAAAGTGTCCCAGTCCACCTATCCCGACAATTCCAACTGTCTTCCCAGGGCCGCATCTATACTTTTTCAGGGAAGCATATAGTGTACTTCCAGCACACAGCATAGGGGCTGCATGCTCAGAGGTCAGGCCGTCCGGGATCTTGACGGCGAAGCGGCTATCAGTCCGAACATAGTTTCCAAACCCGCCGAAGGACCTGCCCTCGCCGTCCGGGTATGTGCCATTGAAAGTCGGCACGGCTCTGGGGCAGTAGTTGACCTTGCCTGAGGAGCACTCATAGCAATCGTCCCGGAAACAACTTCGGGCCTGCGGGCCAACACCAATGCGATCGCCGACTTTGATGGATTTGACAGCGGTGCCAACACGGACGGCTTTCCCGACAACTTCATGTCCAACACAGCAGGCTAAATTGGGATTAAGTCTTATGCAATGATAGTCTAGATTGGTGAGAATGAGATGGGAAAGAGCTCACGATATGTCGTCGGACCCCAGTCAGAGCGGAGCACATGAACATCGGTGCCGCAAATACCACAATGGGTGACGCGGATGTCGATATCATGTTCGTTCCATTTTTTGGGTTCAAATTCTCCCCAAACCATCTTCCCTTCAGCGGCCCCTGCATCATGGCCTAGCCATCCTTCGAATTTGTACATCTTCGCTCGAGGAAGCAAGTTGGTGATAGATGATCCTTGTACGAAGGTACATATAGAATCAAACAAGAGATTGTTCAAAACACACCTAATTTTCTCGTGATTTGAAGGCAATGTATGAGACAAAACACCCAGTTATGATAACTTAATTCTAGCCCATCCTGCCGGTTTTTATATAACTTTGGAAAGCGCACTCCAGTCCACGGACTTTTGGCTGTCCACGGACAAACTTCTTGGCTGGATTGTATAACCCCCAATTGGGGATATGAAGAGGCTAAATTCTGCCCATTTAGGGAGCTATTATTTCATAAAGCTGATCCCTCATCGGGGTGACATGCGCTAATGCAAGCTGCTTATGCTTCTGTCAAAGCGCGGAGCCACCAACTCCACTTTTGAAGTTGCCACGCTCTCTCGAGACATGGAGATGCCAAGAACATTGATAGAGTATATCCAGGCCGCTAACATGACGGGACATCAATTCATAGAAGGTCAACACGTCGTCTTTAAATTGTGAATTTTTTGACATTATTGATCTTTTAACATCTGCTTCCTGTATCATCCAATAATCTAGTTATCATAATACATTGGGTTGCAACATAACGCTTGCGTTGTTGGTTTAGCTTCTGTAGGGCCACTGATCACACTTCTTTATGTTGCCATACCATCCCAAGATTCTTGCGACTGCCCTTTCTGGTCATGTTTTGATTAATGCCGAGAAAGAGAGTAAACATATGCGCAACATTTGAGCAGATGGGCATTCTTCCCGTACAATGTTGGAAGTACAGGGTACGATCAGAGCTGAGTCATCTGTTGAACCAACACCCTTGACCACAACTTTAGTGCCCCCTTTCAGTGATCATTCTGCAGGCTTGTTGATTTCCTCCATTTTTCAGTCGTGACGAACTGATACCCAAAGCTTCACGCGACCGTAGAAAAGAAAGCCTCGAGAGATACTCGCAAACATCTTCCATTGGAGGTTTTCCACACGAGGAAGCAGGCAAACATTTCGCTGCAGCACCTAAAACGCCCAGCCTACGGACCATGCGCCAAATCATTTACCATGGACCTAGTGAATGAATTGGCAGATGTGTCCCGATAGCTCGGAAGGACAATCAATCGGAGACAGATGGCCAGAGCCCTCCAGTACCTCCAATTTTGCCCCTTGAATGTTCTGGCAGACTTCCTTCTTTACCCTCTCCAGTGGTTCTACAATATCTTTGCCAGCTGCCACGACCAACACTGGGCACCGTATGCTGCTAGTAGCAGTGGTGATGTCCTCTCCCATTCCGTAAGTCGGCCATGCTTTCTTTGCCCACTCATTCCCTCGCAGCATATCCGAGACGAGAGATTCAAGGGCAGCCCCAGACGGCGATGATGCCGTGAGAACATTGAGAGCTACGAAGCTTGCCGAGTCTGCGTCGTCGTAGGCATGCACCTGTTGATCACGCATCTCCGGTGGGAGGCTCAAGGGCGTCGGAGGCGCCGGGCTAACAAGAACGATGCCCCTCAAGCCAGGAAGTTCGCCTTCCCCAGCTAGTAGTTGTGCTACTTTTGCCCCCATCGACAGGCCAACCAGTATATATTGCTGCAGTTTTAGAGAAGCGATGACATGTTTTACATCCGACGCGAGCCGTGACATTGAATAGGCGTCTGGGTGAGGTGGCCCGACTGATTTGCCCCAACCGCGGAAATCAATCGCGACGGTGGGGTGCTGCTGCGATATCTGAGAATTGACCTGCGACCATGTCTCTGAGGAGCCGCCCCAGTAATGGAGAAATATGACTGTTGTTGGGGTTGATTGCCCTGCGGATGTGGGCGGACCGGAGACCAAGGCGTGAATCGTAGTCTCCGGCTCCGGATGAAAGAGAACTGATTCTGGAAGTGACATTTTGATTTGCCTTATTACGGAGAAACTGCAAGTTGTTGAGTGAGGGGAGAAGGTTTATATAGTTTCGACCGGTGGATCATCCACTCTGAAATAAGGGAAACGAGAGTGAGCTAAAGCCGAACAACCGTCGATTTGTTTATGTCATGATGAGGGCTATGGTTCCGTTCGGCCTGGTTTATATAATTAAACTTCTTTTACATCCGATGGTGCTCGGATATACAAGCGGCTGCTATACAGAGTGCTAATAGCTACTGGAAAAACAAGGCTAGTACGTCGAGCTGCCGGTGCTGTCATGGTAGTTTGCATCCGACAGAAATAATTGGGCACGGTAATGTCAACAGCTCAGAACGCGCCACTATGGCAACATGTAGGTGCTGACTCAGAAGACAACGTGTACGGTACCCAAACACGTGGGCGACATAATAAAACTAGCAACTCTGATGTACAGTAGGGACTGGGTGTTGCTGAATTAAGAATAATAACCACAATAATGAGTCAAAATTAAACTTATACACTGGTCTTTTGCTCCGTCTCGATGGATTTTTGCCTATTTGTCATTTTCTTGATGTTGCTGTCGGCTACAGCGTGGTGTTCCATGGATGCTATATGTCATATGCCCTTCCCACACCTACAAAACGCTAAGTTGCTACGTAGGGGCTGACGCAGAGAGTCATGCGGACGCGACGAGGTTTGCATTTGGGGATTGACAAGTGTTAGGCTTACTGCTTCTGCTTCAATGTTTTCTTACGCGCTGTCCCATAAGGCTCAATCCGCTATCTTTTGTGTCGAGTTTAGAGATGCTAAAAATAAAAAGACCACAATCCTCCAGAGGATCAAGCGACAATTGAGCAGACCAAAGTCCTTCTTGGCGGCTCAGCCACTAACGAACAGCGCCATTTATCATCTGCGCAGCGCCACTTGCGCACTGTGGCTCTTTCTTCATCGTTCATCACATCCTCAACCCCCAAAATCGAAAAGGCCTGGTCAACATCGACACATCACTCGCTCAGATTCTGGCTTGTCTAAGGCGCGACTAGTCACTGCCGGTCACGATGATAGGCACCAGTCGAGCGGAGCTGTATTTCATCCGCGTCTCCATCGTCGTCTTCCGCTACACACCCGCGATATGTGCCTTCGCTCTCCCCCCGCTCTACCTTTCAGGCATCAACTCATCATGGAAGATCTTTTCCACCGTCACATTGACCCTCGGTCTGGCTGCAGAGGGCCTCTTCTACCTTCTGGCTTGGCGGCCAGCCCAGGCTCGCCTGCGCCTCAAAGCCGTGTATCCCGCTCCATTAACGTCACCCGAGCGGAGGGCGCTGTTTGAGAAGTGCATAGAGAACATGCAGTCGCCTGAACGGTATCTCCAAGGTTGGTTCCTTGGCGCAGATCTGCAGGACATCCGGCGAGAAAACTTGAGGGAGTTCATAATGTGGGCCTTCTTTGATCGCGAGGAGACGGATTTCGGCGACTGGAGCGCGTCTGAGGAGCAGGACATGGAGTACTTCATCCATCTGATTGAGCAGCGGCTGGGAAGGACTATTGAGCCAGGCCGAACCCCAGTCAAGAGTCTTCGCCTCAACATTGACGGTATCTACACCACCTACCGAAGTCTTGCTTGGTACATCGTCATTTTCTTCGTGGACCAATTCACCCACGTCGCGCTTTGGTTTCATGGCTTCCAGTACTTTACTGCTGAATCAAACCGCGCCGTATTTCCTCCGAGGCCGCAAAGATTCCTCACAGCTCACCAGTCAGAGGCTCCCGGGCTCAGTTATTGGTACTCTCCACGAGAGGACGCCGATGACACCAATGTGCCGATTATATTCTTCCACGGTATTGGCGTAGGCCTCTTGACGTATATCCGGTTCTTGGCTGGCCTAAAGAAGAGCAATCGGGCAGGCATCATTGCCATCGAAACTCTATCCATCTCATTCCGCCTGACCTCTTCCCCTCTGGACAGGGTAGAGTTTCTGCGCCAGGTCAATCTCATACTCGACCACCACAACTGGGACACGTTTGCCATCGCATCCCATTCCTACGGGTCGGTCCAGGCTGCCCACGTACTCCACTCGCCGAGCATGCGATCCAGGGTCAGTGCTGTAGCAATGATCGACCCCGTAACCATCATGCTTCACCTGCCCCCCGTGGCTTACAACTTCACTCGCCGCCTCCCCAGTCGCGCAAATGAGTGGCAGCTGTGGTACTTTGCGAGCACAGATCCAGGTGTCGCTCATTGTCTCGGGCGGCACCTGTTCTGGCGGGACAGCATCATTTGGAAGGATGACCTGGTCCAAAGGCGAGGACCAGATGGAAGCAGGGTTGGAAATAGACGGGTGGCCGTCATACTTTCGGGACAGGACATCATTGTTGATGTTCCCAGCGTGGCCAAGTATCTTGAATCGAGGGGGCAGGATGTATTGGATCTGAACGGCGACGGCAAAGTTCTCGTAAAGGTGTTCCCGGAGCTTGACCATGCGCAGGTATTTGACTATGGTGCGATATGCGATGAAGTGGTTGACATTGTCACGTCGTGTTGCGACGCATAGAGTGTATTTCTAACATGACATATTACGTCGGTTTGCGCAATAGACTTGGCGGGTGTAGATTTATATGAGTTTACATGAAGGGTTTCAATTACCGCAGTTATATAGAATTCATGAAGACTAAATCAAGAGATAGGTAGAAACAAGCAAAGTTAAAAATGCCCTGGAGATCACATAGTTGGCAACCATGTGTGCCTTCAAACAAACTTCAGCTTGTGACGAATGATATTTCTCCTTCATCGCAAGATCATACACGTATACGAAAGCAAAACATCAACAACCTTTAGTTATTCTTCTCAAACAAAGCCAAAACATCCTGGTTCCCACAAGCTGCCGCGACGTCAATGGGCGTCTGATGGGCATCATCCTCAAGCATCGGATCCAGCCCCATGCTCAGCAACCCTTTGAACCGCCCAACGTCCCCAGGAGCCGCAATATGCAACAGGCCCTGGCCTTTGTCGTTCCTTACAGAAAAGTCCGCGCCCAGGCTCTCAAATAATTGTAGAGCACCATCCTCTGAATACTCACGCTGTGGCTTGCCGAACAGTGCGCCAGAGCCACCACCGAACAAGCCGCCTGACCTTTTCCTCAAGCGCTTGCTGAAGGCGAACAATGGGGTCTGTCCATCCGAGTTGCGTGCATTGATATCCACACCGCGCTTCGCCAGATCATGAAAGAGAGTTCGTAATTCGGGCGTGTCGAGTTTTGTCGCGAGGAGATGCAGCATATTGTCTCCGTTCTTTGTGACGGCGAGTGCATCGGCTTCGGTTGAGAGAAGCGTCTCTGCTGTATCAGTGTGCCGTCTGAAAGCGGCAAGGCGGACTGCTTTATGAAGAGGCGTATTCCCTGCGTTGTCCGATTGCAAGACGAGATGCGGAGCTTGGTCTAGGATATGGCCGAGTGTAAGCTTGGGTGTTTCTAAGTAGACATCGCGATCGACCAGATAATGCAAGATGTTCCGGCTAAAGTTGTCCCGAGCCTCAAGCGAAGCTCCGAGAGAGACAAGTTTCTGAAATCGAGTCTGATCATCGGCACCTTCCTCATCAGCGGTGGTGATTTGGTCTGGGTTGTTTTGGCAGGCCAAATGGAGAAGAGTCAGGCCTTGGGAATCTTGGCAGTTGATGTCCAGTGCTTCGATGCCGAGCAGGATGTTCGGTGGTTCGCCGCGTCGCATCAGCTCGTGCAATACCGTGCGCTCTTCATATCCTTCAGGGACAACCGGTGAGGCTGTATCCCCATGGGAGGGAGCCGTTTTGTTCTCAACACCAGGGTTAGAATACGGGGTCGCCGTTTTGACGAAGAATTTTGCAAATGGATCAGCTCCATACTTCAGTAGCATCTGCACAACCTCCGTCACTTTCTTATAATCCTGGGAATTCGATGGCCCCGAAAAGCCCTGCAGCTTCAGACAAGCATAGTATAATGGTAGATCCTCACTTGATCCCCGTGGCTCGGTCTTTTTCCCGAATAAACTTGATCCTAAGCCCTGCGGGGGCTGGTCTGTTCGTTTCGTGTTGGGATCAAAACCTGCCTCCAGAAACGCCTCGAGAGCATCAACCTTGAGCTGTTCTATTGCCGCGAAAACCGCCCGAGTAGAGGCTGTTGCCCCTCGCTTCATGAGGAGCTTTAGAAGGTTGATGTCCTTATTTGCGTAAGAGAGGCAGCTGTTGCCTACATTGTCAATTGCATTGACATCCGCACCCCATTCGAGCAAGCTTTTGATGACATGTTTTTGAAACAGGCCAGGGCGAGTAGATATCTCTTCGAGGGCCAAAAGTAGCGGGGTCTGGCCTTTGAAATTTCGGATTTCTATATTCGCACCAGCCTTGAGCAGGTAGGGAAGCGCTTGAAAAGTATGCCACCAGGTGTGGCCATGCGCGACCTGATGGAGTGCTGAATTCGCTGGAACCACGATGGACTCGTTGTCGACTCGCTGGCGTTGATATTCAAGTTCATTGATGTCGACTTGGAAATGCTCAACTAAGAGTTGAACAACGGCCATATTTGGTCGTTGCCGTGACACTGCCTGAACTAAAAATGCTGCCCCTTCTCTTTTGATCTCATTGGGATCATGGGGAGTGTTTCCCTCAGACCAAAGACCGGGATGTGTCTTGTCTCCGAAGGCATGCCACTTGCCGCCAGCCAGTCTTGATTCCGTTTCAATATCACCAACTGTTTTGACGAGAGAAGAAAATCCATTCTGAACTAGAACAGAAAAATTGCAGTCAGCAGTCCCTTCAGGGTTGGTAAGAAAATCAGCCTTTCTCCTAGCCAATTCATTCACTGCCTGGTATTGTCTCTGATTTATCAACTTTTTGAAGAGCTCCTGGTTGCTTTCCCCAGATTTCGTGCTCTCTAACAATCTTGTCTCTGCTTTAAGGATAGCATTATCGTCAGCGTTGGCGGTCGCTACGATGCCTTCTGACTCTGATCTGTCCCTATATTTCTTCAGGGCGTCTGAAAAGCATCTGACGGTATAGGCTTTTTGATCTCTCACGGCCTCATCTATGAAGCCTTGGAGGAACGGCAGTAAGGTCACAGATTGTCTGCTGAGAAGCATATCTAAGATCTCCTCGAGTCTGGCCGTCACTCCTGTCCCCATATCTGAAGTCAAGCTGGATGCTTCGTCCGCCGGGCGCGCGGTATCTTCCAACTTGACCGGGTTGATGTATGGTGCCGTAGTGGGACTTGTGACGGCTCTGGACGCCTTGCTGGAAATATTCGTCGGCATTGGAGTTTCTTTTAATGTAAATGCTGATGCCCCAAACAAAGAAGGACCTTTCAATGGCCCATCGTGTCTTATCCAAAGCGCATTCTCATCTTCGAAACCAGCACACCCTTTCAATGCATGCTCGTTAATATCAGCCCCAGCTTCAACGAGGAGGGCTACAGTTTCAGGCTGCCCTGACCGGTAGGCGTAAAAAAGAGGAGTTATATAATCAAACTCCTTAGCTTTAGCATTCACACCAACAGTAGACGAGCATGAAGGGTCCAGGTCACTCTGTCCCAGTTTTGACTGAAGAGAACGGAGGAGAAGCCCTACTGTGTTGCTTTGGCTGGCACGGCATGCCAAGTGAAGTGCCGTCAAGCCTTCGTGCGTGGCCAGCGTGGGATCTGCCCCGGCATCAAGCAGCTTTGCTGTATTTGAAACACTACCAGCTGCAGCCAGATGAAGCGGGGCGATTCCATCCTCATCGGTACAGTCAATCTCTTGGGTTTTGGAAATCACAAAGTCGATTGGTGCTGGACGCCCAAGTTCGGTGGTTAGCCAGTTGGCGTCTGTGGCAGATAGCATGTGCAATGCAGTACGGCCAGCATGATTCTTCTGGTCTACATCCAAGCCATTCGCCACCAGCTTGCTCCAGCAGTCCACCATCGAGTGGCCATGGTCTAGACTTGATGTGGCTCGCGCGCGTTCCGCCAGCTCATGAAGGAGGGTGTTCCCCACAGAGTCGACAGCCTGGAGATCGAGGCCAAGGCTCACCAAGAAGTCCAACTTCTTGCAGCCATGAGTAGATTTTGCATCGTCCTCCGAGAAGGCGTGGGTTCTAGCAGTTGCATGCAGAATGGTGCGACCTGCGAGGTCACGAACTGCAATGTCGGCACCCCTCTCTATCAAAGCTTTGATACAACGATCCTCGTCTTTCTCGAAGGAGAAATTCGTAAGACCCCCGAAGAGCAAAGTGTCACTATTGCTGTCGGCCGCGTTAATGTCAGCGCCCGCATCTAGAAGCATGTTGATGACTGGCAATGATTCCGGAGACAGACGTGTTGAGAGCAACGGGGAAGCTCCGCGAGCATTCTTAAGATTTGGATCAGCCCCTCCATGAAGTAAGACCTGGATGAGTGGTGCCTTGGGATAGGTGGGCTGTAGCGCAATGTGAAGTGGCCTATTCCCGTCACCATCGGGGATGTTGCAATTGGGGCCGTATGTGATGAACTTGATGATGGAATCTATACCGGATGGCTCATGTCCAAAGTAAGATAGCATGAAATGAAGGGGAGCTTGTCCTTTAGCATTGATAGTCTCGATGTTGGCATGGCCATGCTCGACCAGGATCTGTAAGACCTCGGATGATTTTACGTTGTAAAGGGGACTGTTCCCCAATGAATCAACCGCGTTGGCATCTACTCCAGCTTCTATGAGAGCACGGGTCATGCCGACTGAGCGTACCGCGCCATGTAATGCGGTTTGCCCTCGTGGGGTGCGTTCGTGCACATCAACTCCAGCTTCAACAAGCAATCGCAAGATCTCACAGAGATCGCTTTCGAGCGCTTTTCTAGGATTGGACGGAACACGCACCCCCAGGCCGCACAGTCGATGCAGGCAGTTGTAGGTCTGGGGTTCGTTCTGGGAATCATTGGAATCAAACCAACCGAATCCATCCCGGTGGCATTCACTGCCGAGTGTTGGATTTGCACCAGCATCTAGTAACACTTGAACTGTTCTAAGGTCCGGGTAGGCACAAGCTCGGAACAGCGGCGTATCGCCCAGGATTCTAGTATTTGGATCGACACCAGGATGCTGTAGAATCCTCGCGACAACCTCTGACTTGCCCATCTCGGAAGCCCACATCAACGCCTGATGAATCGTATTTATGTCTTTCAAGAAAGATAAGAATACCTCTACACTTTGCACGTGGCCGTTATGGCATGCGTACATTAGCGGCGTATGGCCTATTGTGCTTCTTCTGCTTCCACAAGAGAACGCGGAATCTTTGGTTTTTGGGGTCAAGGGGTCGACTCCAGCTTCCAGTAGAGCTTGCACAACCAAATAATGGTTGTGAGCTGCCGCCTCGTGCAAAGGCTTCAGTCCGGAGGAAGCATTCTCCTGGTCCGGATTCGCACCAGCGGCAACCAGCACGCGGATCATCTCTGCGTGTCCTTTACTAGCTGCTAGCCACCTGTGAGGAACGCAAATGTTAGAACATGGACATCGTTGAAACTTGGAACAATAAATGTAAGAGCGGAAGAGATAAGAGGAAAAAAGAATTGGGATATACAAGTAGTTCTACATACATTGGAGTGAGTCCATCTTGGTCAGGAATATTAGGGTCAACATCTCCTAATAAGACGTCTCGGGCATAAGATGCCATTCCTAACTTTGCCGCGATATGAATCTGTGAATCCTTGAACATTTCCTGCCCAAGGAATCTTTGAATTTCGGTGTTGATTTCATATTGATCAAACCCTGCATTCTCCGACTTGCGAACATGTCGATGCCAGTTTCTCGCAGCGTAGTCGAAAAATGGGTGCTGAAGTCTCAGCTGGGCTTCCTTCTCCGGCACATCAACCACGCGACGAAGCCCAAACAATGAAGTCTCGGGTGGAGGAATGCCACCGACACATATAACTGAATAGTTACCCCAATCCTCGGATTGGAGGTAGCGAAGACATTCAAGAGCAAGATTCGCATGCGTGGGGGCGGGGTGCAGAACGGGATATCCAGGCTCGTTGCTAGATCTTGTTGTCCCTCCCAGGTACTCAGTGAATGAGTGGTGGATGACTGATATGGTCTCGTCCGCGAGGATCTCTAAAAGGGGGCCACAAGCAGTCCTTATCAACTCCTTTGTTGCCTTCAGATCCCTGGAAGAGTGGTCAGGATTCCCAGATCGAATCATTTCGGCAAGTTCAAGCAGGCGAAGGGGTCGAGTGGCATGGGTAACCGCTTGAAGGATAAGATGCTGAACGCTGGGCGGCACCCCTGATCGCTGTGCATGCTGCGATAAAAGGTCGGTGTACAAGACATTCAAGTCAGTTGGGAGTTTCTGAATCACCTCTTGAATCTTGGCGTTAGGTTCAAGGAAGGCGTCCATTGCCAGCTTGGCATAGAGAAACAGGCCATTGGCCCGCCCTGGAAGTGCATTCCTTATTAACTCCTGATCGCTCGGTGGTATATGCGAGCTAGAAAGTACCGATTGGACGAAGGTTGAAATATCGACGTCGACCAGTTTTTCCTCTAGTCGAACTTGTAACGAAGTGCTTTTTCGGAGTGGTATCCCAACATTGGGGACAGGCCGGCTAGTAACGAGGACTTTGACCTTTTCTGGTCGGAATGATCCCAGTGACGCGAGTTCTTGTAGAAAAGACTCGTTTCCACCGTCCATCTCGTCAAGAGCATCTGTAACGCAGAAGGCCTTGCCAGGAAGATAACTGAATGCCATCTGCAAGTCTTTCCACAGGCTCTCCGTTGATAGACTTTCAATTGATCTCCCTGCATCCATGTAGCCTTTTAACTCCTTCTGCAAAGGAGGACTATAGCTCAAGAGCTGGTCTAGCCAGTCTCGCAACAGAGCTTGAGGCTTGTGATTGGCATTGATGATTTGTCGGAAGAAGAAGAATAGCACAGGGGCTCCGGGATTCGAGGTTGATAGGGTGTGGATCAAATTAGCTGCGATCACTGATTTACCGGATCCAGGAATGCCTTGAATCCAAAGCAAGCCCTCCTCTGAGCCTCTGAGCCATTTTGCATAAGTTTCATTTGAAGTGAGCCAGGTTCCCGTGCCTTGGACATGGGATTTCAGGTGCTTCTCATACTCCCCACCAGGAGCATTGTAAGCGGTGGGCTTGAGCCAGCCGCGGATCTTTTGGAGGGTCTCGGGGGATTCTGGGAGGATTTGTTCCGGATTGTAATTGCTAATGTCGTCGTGGCCGATAATCAGCGCATCAGAGTCATTGTCGTTGAGGGTCTCTTGACGAGGAGTAGTCATGGTCTGGTCGAATTGGTGTGATGTGCAGCTGGAGGTCTGGCTGGAAGCTATTCGGAATTGAATAGCTTCAGAGACGCGGATGAGTCTAGGTTCATTTATACCTGGAGATGACCAAGGATGGATTCAGCGTCCTTTCGCTAGATGATGCAGCTGGGATTCGACTTGGGACGATCTAAAGCGGGATTTCTGGTTCTAGGCACAGGCAGATGATTGAACCTCGCTTTGGTTGAGGATTATGCCTGTGCGATTAGTCAGTCCTTCATGCCTGGCTTTTGGTTGCCAGCTCATTGGCCATTGGCTTCAGGTAGACAGCAGGCAGCCCAAGCTCCAGTTAGGCCTCCGCTGAGCCTCTTTCATGCCTTCACATTTTGCTATTTTTGGCTCCCCATGCAGCAATCTCCACTATAACAGGACGAAGGGGCCTCTAGTGTGTGGAGAGTGGCGAGTCTTACGCATTGTTCTCAGTTGCAATCATCTACATATATTGAGCACTTCCATTCGCAAACAAAGCAACGGAAATCCAGCTGTTAGTTCTTTACTACGCAGCCTTGGTTATTACCACCTGAAACTGGGATATTTTCCTGGACATAGCTTGAACAGCGAAATGGATTGAGAACTAGCTAGTAGCTACCACTATCAAAATATTGCACCCATGTATCGTTTTATCGCGTCCTCAGGCGGTTGGAGCGCAGCACCCGAAGATGTTTAGAGGCTGCTGCAGCTTGCAAGCCAGTCATGAATTCCGAACCGACAAATACCTTTGATAGTGCGGACTGTTCGTGAACAAGCCGGCTCAGCCTAAGGGGGGCATGTTGGAGAACATGTTCTGCGCTCGGCTTTCTGTTGAAAATATGCGATTAGTACAAATTGTAAAATGGAAAGTGAGTGGCACTCACGCAAGCATCAACGCACTGCAGCTTCTGTATATACATAGCTCATCAGTACAAGGACTCTTTAAAAGTCGCTCCGGTGGTTACTTACGGCAGCCTGTAAAATATACTGGTCAGTAACTGATTGTGCTGGTGGATTTCAATGATGACTTACTCTGCAATTGGCCTTGCCAACGGGACACAGCTTGTCCTTGGGGTTCTGGCACCATCTGTTCTGATCTTGGATACGCCCATACAGATTGTCCAGGGCGCCGGCACAACTATACCAGAGATTGTGTTAGTTTGAGTAGAGTCGTGAGTTTATAAGTTTGGTTAGTTATGCTAGATGCTCGTAAACACGTGCCTTATCCTCCGGGAATCGAGGTCAGGCAATGCAGCAGCAGTGCCGAGCAGGAGGCAGAGAATTGTAGCTGTGATTCTCATTGTAAGATCGTTTCTGAGCGAATCTGGAAAATGGTTGTTTGCGTAGAAGATAGAGTTGCTGAGAATTGCAACATAAACCGAGAGGATGGCGCCTTAAATAATTTATTATCTAACGGTATTTATCACAAGACGATAGCTACAATACAAGACTCATCATGCTTGGTTGTGAGAATATGGCGTGACTTACACACAGTGTCTGAGACCATGGCGGCGCGTCACGATATCATTGGCACGCTCATGAGGGGGACTGAGATTTTTGCTTTATCCCCCAGAGCACCCAATCATGCGACTTTCCGTGGGACAAGACCTGCAGCATGACTCGGCTAATGTTAAACACAATGTGATCATACGGGTAGGAAGCGGTCAGAATCGTTAGGTTTTGACTGCTTAGAATCGGTGTTCTAGCACTCGCTGTGCATGTGCAAGCTTTTCTATTACTTTCACAGCATTGGAAGAAAGGGTGTATGTGTCATTCCTCGTTCCAGAGGGCGAATAAATACTACTTAGCGAAAGTGCTTTTAAGGCTAACGAGTAGATTCGTTGGTGCCATTTTTCGGACACAAAACCGCTGGTGCTAATTACAGTATTCTGTACAGCAGCCGAGACACTTGTTAACACCATCCGGATCGGCCCAGGTAGGTAAGACCACGTTTAGAAATTAAATGCTAGAATTGATCGTGTAGCATACAACTTTAGTCATAGAGAAACCTCTAAAGTCCGGCCTTGTAACACATGAATTTGCAATGCATGATATAGCTCGAATTTTCTGACCGGGGACCTCCTCTCCCTAGGATATAATCAAGAGATCCTGCCTCTGAGGACAAGGTTCTGTGTGTCACACGTGCCTTGGCCACCCGTCAAGCTTTGTTAATTAGCAACCGGTTCCATTTTTCTAGCATCTATTCGTCTTTGTCTCCCCTCTGCTCAACATAAGCATTCTTTCTTGGTCTTGGCATATGAGTTTGTATACGTTTGGTCATTTTGTTGTCAACTTGGCACTGGAATGAGTGCAAACGAGCTGGTTGTTCTTCAGTGACCAAGCATCTTTTTTCTCAAAGTTTCAGCTTCTTTGATGGTTGACTACGTGAGACCCCCAAAGCACTGTTAGCCTGTCTCCCTAAGTAGATTCTTTTGGTTCCCTGATGACCTGTCTTTCTACTATTAGTCGTCAGTTAGAGTCATAGCCCCCAAAGTTAAGAAATCACTCCTAGTTCTGCCCCATAATATTAGACAATCATGAAAAAAAAGATGAAAATCAAGACTATTTAAGAACAGAGCTGAGCTCACTTTCAATCACGGGACTCTCTTTAAGACTATAGAAGCGCGAAGTCTTCTATCTTTTTAAATTTCTCACATTTTCAAACTCCTATTCACAAGAATATCAGCCAAGCGACTAATCAGAGGCCACCATGGATATGAAGGATCCTAATTATATCCTTGTCCAAGACTTCGCCCAAGATTGGGTCACACATCCCGATTTTGCGCTTGGTGCTTTGTTCAACAGGGCGAAATCTCCAAGACATTGGATGGTGGTATCTGATGAAATACTGGGTACTTCCCAATTTCGCCGTCATCATGAGCCCCCTTTCTGCGGTGGCAGGCTTAAAATATCAGTCAAAGATATACAGCCGGATGAGGTTGATCGAAATCGATATGTCCAAACAGAACTTTTTGGGTCTCTTGAGTCATCTCATATGCTGATAGAGGAGTTCAGGATGCAGGACAGTCTGGTAACCAGGTACACTCCAGAGATCTTCGCAGATAGATTGAGACAAGAGGAGGAAACTTCGATTTTCTTCGAGTGTCCCAATCCGACCTTGGACGATATATTGCCTCTGTACATGGTCACCGGCATCAAGTATGCTAAAGGCCTAGAATATCGGATTTTGGAGGACAAACATACGTATGAGAGAACCAGGCCCGTGGGCAAGTATCCCAATTTAGACCGGGATAAAGATCGTTTAGTTCATCGGACTCCGTTGCCGTTGCCAATGAAGTCGGGATCGATCCCTAATAAGGACGTTGTGATTGCATACAGGGTTCACGAGATCAGGGAATCCCGAAAAACAAGAACACTTCGGTACGATGTGTATGTGGACAAAAGACGTGCGTCTCCATACTAGAACTATCAAGCCTTGGATTTGGAATCATTATCTAGAGAAAAATGAGGTAGCGCAGATTCAATTAGTTGTCAATTCTAGGTAAAATTTCTCCAACTTGGTGTTTTCAGAGCTCATCGTCTTATGTCTACCTCCGCCTCCTCCCTCGACTCTTCCCAAAGGTACCGGGGTATTTTTTCTGCGCATACTCGCGCAGGTCCTTGAAGAGCCACTTAGGAGAAAAAGGCGAATTCAACCGCTCCCAGTAGTCTTCGATCTCCATCGCGAACTCATCCACGCTGCCAGGCAAGGGCCCGTACAACCTCAGCTGCTCCTTACGCCAAACCTGCCATTCTGCTGAATCAAGGGGGCCGTCCAATGCCGCTCGGAGAAACACCCCGGCTGGGTCAAGAGTTATGACGTTGGGCATGTTTCGGTCTGCCTGTTGATCGAGCTCACGGAGCTTTGCGTTCATCTCAGAACTCAGTTCTTTGCACCAGATGCTGGCTGTGCCTTTCTGTCCATCTTCCGTGTCAGGGTCATAATCGTAAGCCATTTCGCATTCGAAGGTGACTGAGTTACGCATAGACCAGGAGGGCGTTATGTCAATATCTCGGGAGAAAGGATCAACCCTGTTTGGTGTCGGCACACCCGAGTGGAGAGTCAGGCGCTGCAGTCCGCCATTTCGATCGTTCAGATAGCAAAATGTTCGGTGAGCTGCTGAGTATGTGAGATGCGGGAGATTGCCACAGGTTAGTGGAAACCACAACTCGGCACTGCGGAGGCGAGGAAGCGCGGCAATGGCTTTCAAATGGTCGAATGGCCACTCCTCGCTCTCTCGATTCCACATAACGCGGATTGCGAGATGTTCAAGATGGGGCAGGTCTTGGGAAAGCTGGGCGAGATCAAGGGCCGTCAGGGTTGACGTTCCCCAGTCATCAATCCTCAGTTCCCTTAGTGTTTCGCCAAATTGGCTGATTGCATCTGGTTTGTAACCTACGCTTTCCCAGCTTGGAACGGTAATTCGTTCCAACTGTGAAGGGATGGCATTTAGAAAGTCTAGGGTGAGCTCATAGTTCCAACAATCTGTCAGATCTATTTCTTTAAGGTTGCTCAACATTGGGAATGCTCGAGACATATCAGGGTCAAGACATCCGTTCAAGCGCGTCAGCTGCGACCAATTGAAGTTATCGATCCAGTAGTCTTGTTCGGATCCCTTAAGACGATATCCCTGTTGCCATTGAGCTCCCTCCCTCCCCCAAGGGTACATCCCTACGCCTAGCTCTTCAAGAGGCTTCAGCATCTGGCCATCCAAGAAATGGATTCCCGTGTAAGGCGCCTCTTCATATGAGGGGCCGTAGCTGTGACATCCGCCCTGAGGAAACCACGCATGGATTTTGGGGATCCTCGTTAGATTGGGGCACGAGAGAAGGACCTTTGTTAAGCCGCGCATCGTTTCAGCACCCATTTCTTCCCTTGTGTAGAGCACCCGTATGGAGAGGGATTGCAGATTCTGATTCCCTTCCAGGCCTTGCAGGAATGTCAGGGTCTGTACATGGGCCTCGTTGCGTGCGTGACAACTGAGGGACGTGTGCAAGCCGCACTCACCCGGCAGTGCAGCAAGTATCGAGGGCGGAATCGGTACAGGGGCATGCAGATCCAGACTCCTTAACGAAAAGGTCGGCAGCAAGGGCCGCGAGTGATGCGCGTGCCAATGGACATCGCGCAGTCCAGTCATGGCTGGCACGATGGAGGCGAGGTGGTCTAGAATCTCCCTCAGGGTGTCATCATTGTCTGGATGGCATTCGCCGTCCACACACAGCACCCGAATGGCCACAAGTTGGTCCTGGCGTTGAATGAGATGGAGCCGGTCGAGCACATGTTTTGTGTTGTTGAGATCAATATGCACCTCGCGATGCTGCACGTAGCGTGCTTGCTCGTACAATGAAGAGCTCAACGATGCGATGAATGGGAGGAGCCCGGGGCGCGCTTCTTCAACACAAAGAAGAACATTTTGTACAATAGGATCTGGCAATTGGGCAATGGAGGGCCTCGTAGGATCTGTGGCAATGGGTTCTCTTATCTGGATTCTGATGATAGGTGGTGGTTCTTTTATAGGGTGAGTTTTGCGCATCGATTTGGCTAATTTATGATAAAGTCGGTCCATGATTAAATGCCTACATATGCCAAGGCGATACGATCACACGATAATCATATGGGTAAAGATTTAAAGGATGAGAATTGAGAAGTCGAGCAGGGAGGATAAGCGGCTATTTCAAGCGCTATAAATAAGATGATCACCTAATCTAAATGAAACAAATGGTGTTTATTAAGCTCCGCGCTCATGCGAAGAAATGAATCTTATTACCGTAGTTAACTCAAATGAGAGTTCAGCATTATGTGCAACTAAACTCAATTGCAATTCGATCAAAGCGTTCTTTTTTCTGATGAACCAGCGAGCATGTGCTCAATTTCTAGAGCCTCTGTTCTTTCATCAGACTGAGACATTGTATCGGTGATATCCATGAAGTGCTGGGAGTCTCCAGCACCGGCGTCATATGAAATTCATGAAACAGCTAGTATGTCATATCGAGAACGAGGTCGTTTCCAACAGGCATATCATGAGACTCATGGCCGGAACTCACCAGGCGACTCGCTAGTATGAATTTGGTTTATCCGCACCTAGATCTCAATCAAGCTTGCAACCAATCAATCGAGTTAAAGCGCCATCACAGAGAGATCGAAACTTCAAAGATGCCGAAGCTCCAAGAACAGCTCCAAAGTCAATCTCCAAAACAACATTTCAATTATTAGCGAATAGATGACAATCATCACAAACGAACCACAATTCTAAAATTGGCTCACTAGGACTTTCCCTAGGAAGGCTAGGCAAATCGGAAGCTTCCGGCGCTTCAGCCCTGAGCAATAGTTTCTAGACGATTCAGCCTAGATGTGGACAGTTTATGAAGAAGCAGTAGACATTGGGTTAGTCTGTGAGCGACTGCTCAAATGGCGGCACTGCTAGGGCGGTATCTTACACTGCCGCTCCAAGCCACGTGCATTCAGCAACAGTTAGCATCAAGTAAGGGCTGATGGGCGCTGGATAATTGGCCAGATATGATGATATTGCCCTGGTTTCGCTGCCTTTTTGCCCGAGCTAGTTTGGTTAACTAAGTAGCTTGCATTCCTCACTCAGCCCCAGGTTCCAGACCTAACACAGAGAGCGCTCAAAGCGAAAAATTCGATGGTCAACAAACCTCTCAATCCTTTGGCCAATAAAACACTAGTTGAGCCATGGAAAATGCATGGGATTAAATAGTAGATGAGCATGCGCTGCCTTGTCAGCCTGCCTCCGTTGTATCTCGTCGTTTCGCGTCCTTGAACCCTGTCCAGATCTATCATGTATTCAGACTCTAGACTGCCCACCGCGGCAAATCTCTGCCAACTCTCGGTTCTCCTCTTGGCAACGGCTTCAACGGCTTCTGGCTATGTAGACCCTGCCGGGCCAGTTATTACCTCGCCTCCTGATGCGGGGGTTGTGTACTTGCGAGATGGAACTCAGGATGTAAGCTTCTGGGGTTATATATCTGAGAGCGGAACTTGTAAGTTTGGTCGATTTCAGTTCACTGATCCTCATCTAGAATATCCTGATCAGCGCTCACACATGAAGAAATTTAGGGGATGCAAGATATTGCGGATCAGGGCAGACCATCACTCTTTCTGGGGCCTACGGAGCATGCAAATCAACAGCACAGGTAACCACCGCAGTTGCCACCGGATGCAGAAGTGGTTCAATTGTTGTTTATCCTTCTCAGTCTGCTTCTTGGTAAGTTTTTACCCCGTTTCCGATTCAGAATTGCGAGCTAACCTGCTCCAGCTCTGCCGGAAACCAATGTAACACCAGAGTTCTGCATAGAGATCTGGATGACAATGCCGGGTATAGCATGTACGGATGTGGCGTGGTCGCATCTAGCTCTGTTGATCTGTACATGCAGACAACTGGCACTGCCGTTCGTCCAACCTCGGCATCAACCTCTGTATCGGTGTCTTCAGCCTCAGGTTCATCAAGGGCGACCTCATCCTCGACAAGCTCGTCCTCATCATCTTCCTCCTCAAGAAGTTCGACGTCTTCATCTTCCACATCTTCGTCGAGTAGATCAACTCTATCGACGTCAATATCAGCAGCACAATCGAGCGGGGCAGTGACAAGGAATCTTGCGACCACTTCCGATTCTCAAACCAATCTAGCCAACACATCTGGCCTTTACAAGACCACATCAACTTCAGGAGCCGTCAACCCCACGGCTGACTCCAGCGCCGACAATTCGAACTCTTCGTCGACCAAGAGCGCTGCTTGGATAGCCGGGCCAGCCGTCGGCGGAGCGATTGCCCTCGCGCTTATCGCGGGACTCATCTTTTGGCTCATCAAGCGACGACAGAGGAAGCGTCAAGTATCTCCGGTACCTCGACCGGCCGTGCCTCCACCGAGCTACCCTCAATACCCATCGCCCCAGATGTCTCCAAATAGCGTGTATCAGGGGCAACACCCATATCAACCACCAACCAACGCGTATTATGGGAACAACGGATACCCCGAACACGGTAAATTTCAGGAGATGTCGGCCAGCACTGAGAGCCCAACACCTGTTGAGTTGCCTGGGTATGCGAGACCCCCGGAAATGCAGGCTCCTCATTATCCACAAGGTAGATGAGACTGAGAATCTTGCAAAAGCTAGGTATCTAGATAGATAGAGTGTCATGATGAAGGTATTGTGAACATTGCGTCTCAGTCTCAACTGTGCCTGTGGCGATGAGGGTATGGTAAGTGCAATGGGAGATCATATTTGGACATAGTTCTTTCTTCAAGTCATAGAGTTGCGTGTGAGGACGTATTTCCTGAATTTTCACGAACGAGAGTAGATGGGCGGTGATACATCGGTGCAACGCCACGCTGCAACAGTCAGAGCGATATAATACAATTGATATCATTACAGAGATGGCATATTTTGATATCGTCGTGGTATTTTATTGCTCCTGTAGTATTGACTAGGTAGCTCAAGTTCACTTCAACAGTCAATGAGAGCTCCCGCACTCGCCTTGGAAAACACCTGTCCGGAGCCTGCTTGTCTGTAATTCAACCTCATCTCCAACCATTGCATCATTAACACATGAACAGACGGAGATTCTGCTCTGTTATACATGTGGCTAAATGCCGTTGAAACCATCGACCAAACCTACAAGACACCATTGCATCGTCTTGTTGAGAATATCGGGCCGGCACTCCCTCAAAATTTGAACCACTTCGAATTCTAGATGCTGGCATCTCTGAAACAATTTGCCATTATTCGCTCAAGAAGGCGACAACCGCGCGGTCGAGTAAAAATAGCCATGGAATGGCACCGCAAACCCAATTATCACAACGGGCAAGGATGAGGACTCCAGCCACGATTCCCAAATTAGTACCGAGTCTGGATGGCATACGTGGAAGAAATACCCATACCCATACCCTTTGCCATCGTAAGAGCATCTGCATGTCTTGGAAGTCGCTCCTGTAGTAACGAGCGGCTTCTGTCTGATGTAAGAAACAATACAGTACACTGTGCGCTGAAGATAAGCATTGATATGTACCGGTCTGGCGTGTTACCGACCTGAAACGCCACCGCGCGGTAAGATTCAGCCAGCGGAAAACACAGACACAATGCAATATTCTGATTGTCTTTGGCAGGCCAACAAAAGCGAACAATAGGCATTCGCGCGGCAAAAAAGTCCCTGTTCAATGCAGCGAATGGAAACACGCCGACGCACACACACAGGCAGGGATTCTCCCCTCAGTCTGGTCTCAGATGGCAGTGAGGCAGCCATGTTCCAGCACTTTCACCTCACCGGCCAATAAGAGGGCATCCGGGCCTTCCATCCAACAACAAGCTGCCTTACCGTTGTTCGACCCCTCAACAAGGCTCATCTCATCAACCCCTCCGCTACCCTCCTTCATCATCACATCACATCACATCACATCGCATCATGCCATCGTCGCGACGGTCGCTGGATCCCGGCACCGCAGCACCCCAGCCATCAAACGCACCATCGCATCTCGCCCGTCGCGCAGCATGTTCCATTTAATGTCCACCCAGATGAAGTTCAGGCGGCGCCTGATGTGGCGGGGCTGGCGCGGCATGTGGAATGACGACTGGATCCCGGACGACCTCGCCGTCTACCCTCGCTGCCGCCTGTGTCGGCTCGACTACGACGACGGCGAGGAGTTTATCGCAGGTGCGCAGAGATCCAAACCCATTCACTATCCCCTTCCCAACGTCCCTGCTGATGCCTGCACGCAATAAATAGTCAGCGCGCAGGGCCGGCAGAGTGCCCCGTATCGCTTCAAGCCTGGTGACTTCCTCTATGATGATGCGCTCGAGAACGGGCTGTACTGTGAAACAACCTTTGCCTCCGTAGACAACACCATCCTCGTGGTCGGCTGCCATTCAGACTGCCTCGAGTTCGCTACCAAACTGATAGATGCGCAAGAAGCCCAGGGCCTGCAAAGGCTCAAGAGGCAGCGCGACGATTTCCGCATGGAGGTGAAGCTGCGCGTGGTGAGCTCCGACGTCTTCTCCGCGGCAAAGCGCATGTTTGGGGGCATCCAGCCGCTGAGTCGCGTGAGACCGGACATGGTGTCCCAAACGCTCCTCAGCCGTCTCTTCCAAGGAGACGGCTCCTGGCATAGACGGATGGTTCGAGAGAACAAGGTCCAGAGGCTCAAGCACATCCAAAATGAATTGATATACAATGCCGCGAGGGTGTTGGACCCCAACAGGATACTGCCGCTGGAGATATGGACAATGATTGCCGGCTATCTCACCAAGTCATATGGCACGGCCACATTTGTCTGGTCGACTCATCGAAAGAGCTCGACAGTGCACCGGGCTCGCGATATCTGGGCTACCTATACCAAGATTGACGGTAAAATCTATCTGTCTAAGCTATCGAACAGGCGTACTCCCGGTGCAACACTATTACGTCGAGGCGATCCCAAAAGAGAGAGGAAGATGCTCTACATCAAAGAAGATCATATCGGTATCAGAAACATCTTCATCTCAGTAGCAGCTCCCCCGTTCATTAGCCCCCCCGACGACCCAACGCGATGGCGAAACCATTGCCTCAAAGAAGAGGATGCCGAACTCACCTTTATTTCAGATGTAAGTGATTCATCCGATTTCCTCTTTATCCACTGGGTAGATTCCTTCGTTCAGCTTTCTCACTCTTGCTCAGGGTACTGTTCTCCAACACTACGTGTCCGATTCAGAGAACCACGTCATAGCCTCCCGCAGCGAGGTATTTGAGCGTTGTTCATGGCCAGAACCGATCCAGGAAGACGAGCTGAAAACCCTACTACCCCTCAACATCAAAAGCACAATGGGATGGATGAGGCCGGGAGAGGTGCCGGCTGAGATTGAGATCATCATGGTCGACTGGGACATTGAGATGACTTGGAGATCCCAGTTCAAAATGAGAGACCTGCCTCTGAACCGGCCTAACTGCGTGGGCTATTCGGCGTGCTGGGTGTCGAGGGCGAGCTGCAAGGCGCGCAAAGGAAAAGGCACCCCGATATACCTTGTTGGACTCCACGCCCACGAGGCTGGGGAGAGTCTTGACTTCTATCGGGCCACCGACGCCCAAACGTGCCAGACGTTTTGGACCTACATGCCTCTGCAAGCCGGGGAGCAGATCAAGCATATCTGGGGCAAAAGGGGACGAGACGACAGACTCACCCTTTCTGTGAGTTTTTACTCTTTTCGCCATGACTTTACAACATCACTTTTAGACACTTGACTTATTCGTGAATTAGTGGGATACTACTCTTGATCGCCAGATTACAGTCGGCGCAGACAAGCTACGATACAACTCCCTCGACACGTGGCACTGCATCGCGGCGCCCACGACAGCCAGCCCAGACCGCCTGTGGATGAGATACCTCGACTGGTCCGGGGGTGTCGTCCGCTCGCTGGCCGGCCCGGTGCGCGGGACCAACCCGCAGCGTGAATCCAGACCGTCCCAGAGTCTCTGCAAAGGGATGCAGGACCCTCTGCCGTTCCTCCTCCACTCTGAGACCTCCCTGCGCAACGTATCACGCGTGACCGCGTGCCGACTCACAGACGGCACCTCGTCGCGCGTGTCTGGGCTTGTATTCCGCTTCCAGGATGGCTCCGAGACGGCCGTGGGGAACGTCCGGCTGGACTGCCTTGACGAGGATGCGATGGAGATACCCTCCGCCTCCCCGGGGCTCTTCCTGGGACTCAGCGACACGGATGGCCTGCGCCAGGTTCATGAGGTGGGTGTGGTCAAGTCGGACTGCAAGGCATGGCTCAATTGGGAGGTGTTCCCCTGGGATGGGACGCTTGTGTGGTGGTTTGATTACCTTACATGCTCGATCCGCCATAGCTCTGGGGTGGAGGTGAGCAATCTGGAGGCCGCATGATGCTTGCAGCTGGTGGAAAATGATGTTAACATGGAAGCGATGAGGTTGAGAACGGGGTACACGGACAGAGGCACTGGGCGGGGGCATGCGGCGGTACTTGGAGAGATGCCCGGATCTAGTGAGCCTCCTAATGAGATACGCAAATGACTACATTTAGCTTAGCAAGCCCTCTATTTATTATCTGCCATCCATCTGAGAAAGGCGTCCTCGTGGGCTGCCTGCGAGATCCACTCACCCCTACGTGGGCATTCGTCACGGCCGTAGTTTGTGAACCCGTGTGCTTGTTATCCAATCCTCCATGCCTCGGCAAGGAGTGTAGCGCTATCTGCATTTGCTGAGCTGCTGCTACAGGGGTCAAAGTCCCTGACGCGCCACGATTGATGGGCGAGCCATCCCCGAAAGCGCCCAAGCTCAGTCACAAACCGTTGCAGTGTGCCCGCTAATCTGCCTGCTGGTGCTGCTGTTCGACTCCGCCAAGACGAGCTGAAAGCCTGAAACTGAGATGTTGCTCATTTGCAAGATTTGTTGAGCAGCCCGCCCAGCAAAAGAATCACGCCGAAATCGAGGCTGAGCAAAGTGAAGCTGCGACTTCAGCCTGCCGCATCCCATCCATCCCGTAGGCATGTGAAGATGGACGCGAAAATGCACCATCACGGCTGCCTTCATATAGCTTAAATGCTCTCTCCAGCTGGTCTACATCAAACCAAGCAATTCAAGGTCAATCAACCATCAGTCCACTCCGTCTGGCATCTCTCTACTGCCCACGTCATAGGCCACCAAGAGATTGTATCGTGACAGACTGGACTCACAATCCACCAAAATGACTCTCCCAACACCTCCCTCCACTTCAGATAGTCCTCCTCTACCCGACACTTCATTCATACAGCCGTTACCAACCTACACAGCAACCGCGCAGGATGATCTTGAGGCAAGAATCGAAAGGACACCCGGCCTAGAGCTGCCCATCCTACAGACGCCAACCTTGGATTACTCAAGACCGCACAACCCACCCCTCAAAACCGAACAGGCAGACGACGCAGCCAATCAAGATGCCCGCACGCTTGAACGCGACATCGTCCTCGCCTTCTTCACAGCCATCAGATCCGGCCACAATGACCTCGTCTCCCAGTTCGTCTCCCGCGGCCTGGTATCCCCCGACGTCACCAACTCCGGCGGCGAGACGCCCCTCCTCGCGGCCGTGTGCGGCGGCAACCCGCCCATGATCAGCACCCTCGTCGCCCTGGGCGCCTCCGTCAACGCGTACGGCACCTCGTACTCCGTCGACTCGGGCAGGCGCCACAGGAGGCTGCGCCGGACCCCCCTCCAGCTCGCCGCCCAGCAGGGCCGCCTCGCGCTCGTCAAGGTGCTCGTGGAGGACTACGGCGCCGACGACGGCCTGGTCGCCCCCGACGGGTACATCGCGCTCCGCCTGGCCGCCAAGAACGGGCATCGCGAGATCGTCGAGTACCTCCCCGCCCGCCGGGCCGGCGTCGGGCTGCGGTTCAAGACCATCGTGAGGGACGAGTGGGAGGTCGTGCTCTCCATCCTGAAGAAGCTCGGGCACGTCGTCAAGTTCTTCGTATGGCGCGTCCCCTTCTTCCTACTCTACACGGCGCCGAGGGGTCTCTGCAAGTCGGCCTGGCGTCGGCGGCACCGGTTTGGAGCCTGGTGCAAGCGGGCCGCAAAGGGGGTTATCAAGCTCCCTAGCCGCATCTTGAAGTTCCTGCGCGAGGTTCTGAAGGCCCTCAAGAGGACGCCTGAGTTTGTGAAGAGGCTTGCGCAGGCAGCACTTAAATTTCTCAAGGCCATTCCGGGGGTTGTGAAGAGCGTCCTGCTCTGGGTTGGTGGCGGTCTCAAGACTGCGGGCAAGGCTGTCCTTCACATATTCGCGCTTTGTGCGTCATTGATACATACGGCTGTTTTATCCGTTTTATCGTTCTTTCGTGGCATCACACCCAAGGACGTCTGGGATGGCATATGCTACCTTGTCAAAGCCATATTTGTCGAGGCACCACTGGCGCTCATCAAGTTTCTCGGCACCTTTGGGGAGATGAGTTACAAGGTGCTGGCAGCCCTGTTTGGCGTATTGGGAAAGGTGCTATGGTATATTGCGCAGGCGATTCTGTACGTGATCACCTGGACGCCGAAACAACTCTGGAGGTGTGTAAAGGCCTTTGGTCGTCTCAACCGCAAGGGATTCAATGAGATAATGGCCCTCATTGATCCGAAGAGGATGTGAACGTAGAATAGCTTGGTATTTCCTTCATGTTATCTGAAACTCGATCAATTGGCGAGCGTGTTCTCAAACTTCGATGAAATATAATGAAGTGATCTTTTACAATTCCATATTCCCCAATTGTCTCATCTACAATTTCACTCTCTTTCAGAAATAGTAAAGATATTCTTTGATGAGTTAATTACAATCCTATGCTCCCAGTTCCGTGATATCTCAGTGACAAAGCATGATATCGCGAAAGAGATATTATACCCAACCTATTTCAAACTTTTCTTCGTAGCAAATTTTATTTCAGTGTTGAGGTATTGCTGTAAAGAGAAGAGTAAAAACAAATCTCAAATTAGAGGAAAGATTTTCATTCTCATCGTTTAACTTCCAGGTTGATTCGAACTACCCCGTCTTTGTTATCCATCCATAACAAAAAGGGAACAGACCATGCTTTAACAACATAGTTTTTTTTAGTTATTGTCGAGTGAAACAAACAGTCTAACTCACCAAGTTCTCATAGTTTTTGAACATGCGAGCGCAATCTCTCTCAAGAGCTTCGCCCGCCTTGAATTCGTATTTAAGGCGGGTGGCATCACGAGTTTACATGCCATACCAGTTCTCCAATCCGACACTCAAGAAAATTGCAGACTTCAGAAGCTACTTCAAACCATTTCTTACCTTCTTCACACCTACACCATCTTTCAACGGTCCCAAAGAAAAGATGCCTTCTCAACAAGAGCTTGACCGGATTAGCAGGTCCCTCAGGTCACTCAAACTCAACGTTAAAGACCTTGAGCTAGCCTTAGGACAGTTGTTCAATGATCATATCCTATGGCAAGAGTCATATGGGCGGGATCCATCTACCCTGAGAGAAGGATCCATGCAAAGCCACGTCTTTTACCACCTTCTGGAATTCCTTCGTGCAGTGGAAGGCCCACCTGAGCTTTCTGTCGCTCCTCTGACCCTGAGAAACCACACAATCACCCTCCGGATAACTGGGGAACTCCATAGCGGTGTGGGGGACATTTTACCTCTGATGCAGGAACATGGGATGATCCCTCAAGGAATCAAGCAGCTGATTAATCATGTGGTGTTGCACATGGACGAAATCATCTATCTCAAAGAAGATTCTTCCGCATCGGTATCGCCATCAAGTGGTGAGGGCTCCGGACCAAATGGTGAGAACTCCGGACCAGATGGTAACTCGGAACCAAATGGTAATTCTGAACCAAATGGCAACTCCGAGCCAAATGGCAACTCCGAAACAAATGGCAACTCCGAAACAAATGGTAACTCTGGAACAAATGGTGTGGACTCCCTGATAGTTACTCTGACCAACCCGGGCGCTTGAGACAGAAAAATTGGCAAGACTGTCAAATCCTCCGGGATATCTTGCTAAAGCTAGGTATTTAGCATACAAAATTGAAATCATTGTCCGAACGCAGGACTTTTCATCTGTCGCCCCTTGACTTTCTCACCGTTTCATCGCAGTCTGTGTTCCAAGTGCCCCTTTTTGAAACAATGTCATGAATATTTCCGAAACAAAACGTGAAGAGTGAAAATGAGTCGCGTGATGGCTGGTAGCTTGATGATTTAAGCAACTGAAACCCTTTGTGTAGATTTGTTCAATAATAATTTATTACAAAACATGCCCATCTCTTCGTAACTCAAAGCTTCCGTAACCAAAGCATGTTCTAGTATATCACGCCTGTCCGGAAGATATCAGGGAATATCTACGCCATCCACTCACAGGCCTCTGCATGCAATCAATCGCTCATACGGTGGGCGTATTCTACCAAAGTCCTTTGGTTACACATTCAGGCTGAAATGCCTCATGATTAGCCAACAGCCAACCCCTGGAAACTGGAAACGAGGACGTCAAAACGACGTCAAGCTTTACCCCTCGTTATCTCTTGGCCAATGGAACCCTTGTGATAAATAACTTGGCCGCTATTGGCTATTTGAGACCCTAAATTTCGCCCTTATAAGCACCCACCTTAGCATCCCACATGTATATTTTCAACCTCAGAGGCAAGCATAACTGGCACATTCTCTCATCATGGCGATCCTGACACTTGGAAACCTCTGCGTTCTTCCGGTAGCCTATATCCTGTGGAGGATCGCTTATCAGGTTGTTTACTACAAGTTTTTCCACCCTCTTTCCGCCTTCCCAGGATCGTTCTGGGGCAGCGTAACAAGACTTTGGATTGCATGGCATAATATCAAGCAGGACGAGTGCGAGGTCTTCTATCAACTACATAAGAAACACGGTATGTGAAATCGTGCTTGTGTATAAAAGTTTCCTTCTAATATGCAGAGCCGCCTCCAGGTCCTGTAATTCGTATAACCCCTACGATGCTCCTAGTGAACGACTCGACCAAGCTTCCGACCATTTACGCCCGCCATGCAAACAAGTCGAAACACTACATTACAGGGAGCTTTGGGGAAGATGAGTCCGTATTCAATATGCAGGATGCAAGCGTCCACGCCAGGTTCCGCAAGATCATCGCGGCTCCTTATAGCTTCGGCAACGTCAGGAAAATGGAGCCCTTGATTGACGAGCAGGTCCAGCGCTGGATTTCGAGACTGGAGGAGAAGTTCGCCGGAACCCAGGAGAAGTTCGATTTTGCTCCCTGGGCCGTGTACATGGCCTACGACGTCATCTCCTCGGTAGGATTCGGCGATCCAGTAGGCTTCGTCGAGCAAGGCAAGGATATCGGAGGTCTGATCAAGGGGTTCCACGATGGGATGGTGGTTTTTGGCCTCATGGCGCGCC